AAAAAAAAATGAAAAAAAATGAAAAGCAGAGAAAAAGTTAGTAAGGTGGATAAAGCTTAAAGAAATGGAGTGGCGAAAATTTTACTGGAAGTATCTTACCAAGCTTCGTCAAGAAGTGCGACTATTCCACCGGGTTTCTGTATTTAAGGGGGGAAAAAAAACTTTTATTAGGTGAAATACTTGTATCCAGAAATTTTTGTTCCTCATAAAATTGAACTCCAACAAAGAAGAAGAAGAAGAAGAAGACAGTGGTGTCATGTGAAGGAAAGAGCATAAACCTTTTCGATAAGATCCAATACATCTTGATTATCAACAAATTCAATGTAGCTCCAATCAATCTCCTCTTTGGTGTACTCTTCTTGTTCCATTTTGAAGACGTGCTGAAATCATTAACAAATAGTACTTCAGTCTACTAAACAGTCACTAGTATAAAAGCATAATCAGTCATTAACATCTAATGATAACTTACCTGATTGAAATGTTGCTGCAGTTTCTCATTTGTGAAATTAATGTAGAATTGCTCAAAACTGCACAGCAGAAAAAAAAAATGCTGAACTAACTTACAAAGAACCGCCCGATCAAAATTTAGTAAATTCTTAACATTCATTACCTGTTAGTCTTAAAGCTTTCAAAACCGTAGATGTCGAGGACCCCAATGAGAGATTTTGAGTTAGCATCTTGACCGATTGAGACGTTGATTTTATCCACCAACCTGAATATAATCAGACATAACTTGGCATCACAACAATATATCAATTCTGAATATTCATCACATACTGTGATGGTTTGTACATGGTTCATTTGTTTGGCAGGAGATAACACGGTCTTGTATGCTTTGTTTTGGGATGTTGACTTTGATGAGGAGCTGGATGACCTTTTTTTGCTTGCTGAAGCTATAATCTCTTGATCTCTAGCTTCCTGCATAGTTAATGAGATACTAACAATTAAACCCCTAAAAGCAAATCAACAGTCTTCAAAAAAGAAAGTGAAAGAAAGAAAGTTTACCTCACTACTAAGCATTTGAAGTGGTGACCACATTTGCAGCCTCGAGCAAGGCTGCCGCTCTTTCTGCAGCTTTTCTCTTGTAATGTGCCTCAAAGTAGGCTTTCTTCTCAGCAACAGAACCCGGTTTAGCAAATTTCTCAACTTCTTCCAAGTACTGATTGTGGGAGAATGCCGACCATCTCTCCTAAGCCAGGGAGTCTGTCAAAAACCTACCAAAAGAGACGGATTCGCCTAGTGCGCGGAAGGGGTCCCCCTGCAATAACAAATGCATTCAATTTTCTCACAAACTCTTTAAAAGCCAAGTCCTCGTGACAAATAACCTCACACAAACACAAGAACCACCAACAACCAAGAACCACCAAAGCAGCATAAGTTGACATTTTTGCAATGCAATACTAGTAGTGTTGCAAACT